AGTCCGGGGGTGCCTGGGTGTCCCTTGGTGACACTTGCACGGCTGTTTTTAACACTGGTTTTTGCCCCTGCGGCAGCAGCTGAGTGAAGACCCCTCCTCCTCGTCCTGCTGCGCTCAGCGAGGGGTTCCCCATCCATGGGCACACAGTGAACGTTTCCAGCATCGCCTGGGGTGAGCCCGGCCCTGTGCGCTCAACCCCCCCCCCCGACTCCCTCGATGATTGTTGGGTTTGTAACCACCTTTGTATCAAATCTCAAGCCCCCAGCGCTGGTCGCCCTGTTGGGTTACAGCTCCCACCCCTGGCAGTCACTGCTGGGGATGCCGGTGTCTCTTTTTATTTCTTCCGAGGCCACCTCAGCTGCTGTTTTCTCTCCAGCCGGAGGAAGGGGAAAGGGGGGGTTTTGCACCCCAGCAGCAGAGGCTCTGTCATCGCCCCCATCTGGAGATAAAAATAAAATAAAGGCTTTAGGTTGGGGCAGTAGCTGGACAGCTCCCCGGGCTGTAACCGGCTGGCAGGTCTGCCCCATCTGTGCCAGGTCTGCCCTGAGCACCAGGGCACTGCACAGGAGAGGACGTGGTGGGAACACTGTGTTTCTGTGGTCAGCCATGGTTCACCTCCAGGGTCGTGGAGGCTTCGTTTGTTTTCTTGGGTTTGGTTTTCTCCCCCACCCTCTGCTGCGAGGAGGGGAAGCTGCGATGCAGAGCGGGCAGGGAGCAAGAGGGAAGATGAGTGCAACTTCCTGTCTTTGGCGGGTTTGAGTGAACTTTGAAACCAAAGCGGTTGCATTCAGTGCCCAGCGAGCTCCTTGTCATCACTCAGTTCAACTGTCACATGAAATCATCTCAGTTTTATGGTAGTTCCTACGTTGTAGGTATGTCTGTGTAACACCCTGACCACAGAATTGTTATTGACAGCAGCCAAACGCCCCAGGGCGTAGCCAGCAGCAGGGCTGTTTGTCCCTGTGGGGCTGTAGCTTTATGGCAGCAAGGGCTGGCTGCTCTGGGCAGTGCTGGGCTGGCTCCGGGAGGATGGACACGTCCCTGGATGGACCACCCCATTCCTGAAGGCCGGGTGGCGGCTGCGGCAAACGCGAGGGGGGGGTGTCCAGCCCCATGGAGCACCCCGGGGCACCTCTGCAGCAATTAATCCCTTTGTGCTGGTGGGGTTGATCACCCAGAGCGCCCCAGGACGGGGGTCTCGGGTGGGCTCGGTGCTCCCGGCTGCCTGTCCCTGCAGGAGGATCGAGGACTGCCTGCCCCCGCTGGAGGACTCCCCGACCAAGAGGTTCTCCCCCTCCAAGCGCAAGCAGTACTACATCAACAAGGCCATCCGCAACTCGGACCTCATCCCCAGGGCCAAGGGCCGCAAGAGCCTGCAGAGGCTGGAGAACAGTAAGGAGCCTGAGCTGGGTCTTCCCCAGGGTGGGCAGCCCCTGCCCCGAGCCCTCGGCGGTGGGGGGGGCCCTGGGGCCCAGCTGCCCCCTCAGGGGTTTGCTCTTCCCTCCTAGCTCGCTTCCTGATGACGCTGCTGGAGCGAGATGAATGTGGGAGCGACGAGGGTGAGCTCGACCGCTCTGCTCCCCCGAGCATCTTCACTGAGGCCTGTAACAACGAGACCTACGTGGAGGTGGGTGCTGGGGGCCCTGGCCTGGCACGTGCAGCTCCAGTGGGACCTGGTTCTTGTACCTTGCTCCTCCAACCAGAGCAGCTCCCTGGCCTGAGCTGCTGTTCCTGGGCTGTCCCTGGGGGGTCGGTGAGGAGGGGGCTCCTGGGGTGCCAAGGGGTGGCCATGCACTGGTGGGCACTCCTGGGACACCTCTGCAGCGGGGCCTGGTGCCGTGTCTTGTCAGATCTGGAATGACTTCATGAACCGGTCGGGAGAAGAGCAGGAGCGAGTCCTGCTCTACTTGGAGGAGGAAGCTGGGAAGAAGCACAGGAGGAAGCTGCCCGGCAAGAGCGAGGACAAGTGGAAAGGTGCTGGGAGGAGACGCTGGGTGGGGAGAGCCTCTCCCTTGTGTGTGTTTTGGGAGGGACACTCATCCCTGAGGGCTCCATCCTGCTTCCTGTGTCCTCCCCTCATGGTGAGGCTTGAGGACGATAGAGCTGACCCCTTGGGTGCTGTAGCGAGGGGGTTGTGCCCAGCAGACCCCTGTGGACCTGTGAGGGTTCGTAGGAGATGGGAGTAGCCGGGGTGATGGGCACAGACCTCCAGATCTCCACAGCCTCCTTGGCTGGGGAGGGTAGTGCTGGTCTGGGGGTGACACCTGAGGTCCCCTGGGGTGGCTGGGGGGATGTTGGGCTCCTTTGCTGAGCTTAAACTTTATAGATGTGAGGCTGTGACTTAAGACACACTGAATTAACAACACATGCTTTAGGCTAGTAAATATGGCACTACAGAGGAGTTCCCCTAATCACGGTCCAGATGGGTTGCAAAGCAGGACTTCATCTTTGGCACTTCAGAAGATCCCTACCAGGACAATAAAGTTTCAGGATTTAGTTGCTGTTGTTGTTTTTTGTGGGTTTTAAAAATTAACTTCCAGCATTGAATCCTTTTTGAACAAGCATCATTATTTTTTTGTGAGACCAAATAGACTGGGAGTTCCTTGTACAAAGTTTTCACTAACATGACAGCTTAAGCTTATGAAATAAATTTTCTTTATATAATTACTGATAAAAGGCCACAGCTGAAACTTTGGGAAGCTCAGGCTCAAATCCTGTCTCATACAAGCATTTCTTCAAAGTTCTCAATAAACATAAAAAAAGCCATCTGTAAAAATGGAATAAACACATAACTTCTAAAATTAAAGCTCAAAGGTCACTATCTTCAGAGTCTCTTTGTTACAGTAAACAATATTAATACTCTTCAAATATTTTTTCAGAAAAAAAATTTATTGCTATCTTCAGGCCCAATTCTGCAAACATTTCTTGGAGGAAAAGTAGTTTCCTTAATGAAGCTATTCTTACCAGCAAAGCTATTAATTGTGCAAGGCTTTTCAGAATCAGCCCCCATTACAGTTAATTTATTGGCACAAAAATACTTTTGTGCTCTTTTTAGCAAAACCATTTCAGGCAGAACTCATCTTAAAAGAAAGGACTGAGCAAGCATTTGTGTGACATTAACAGCTGGACCATTTGCAAGTGAAATTAATGCTGTATTGGTATTAGGAGAGTTCAAGAACTACTGCCTATTTGGTTGTAAACTTGAGAAGATATGGGCACTGTACTTGTTCATGTTTATACAACACCCAACCCAGCACAGCTCTCAGCAGAATTGGAACCCCACGAGTCTCAGTAACCCTAAAAAAAGCATTAGTGACATCTGCTACAAATTCTGCAATAATGAATACATATCACAGCTTTCCTTGTGCATCTGATAGACTTTTCTGGGGTTTGTCTGAAATGTTTGTGATAACTGGAGTCAAAATAAGGACTTAAGCACCTTGAAAATACATGTCTGCCCCGAGCCCTCGGCGGTGGGGGTGGCCCTGGGGCCCAGCTGCCCCCTCAGGGGTTTGCTCTTCCCTCCTAGCTCGCTTCCTGATGACGCTGCTGGAGCGAGATGAATGTGGGAGCGACGAGGGTGAGCTCGACCGCTCTGCTCCCCCGAGCATCTTCACTGAGGCCTGTAACAACGAGACCTACGTGGAGGTGGGTGCTGGGGGCCCTGGCCTGGCACGTGCAGCTCCAGTGGGACCTGGTTCTTGTACCTTGCTCCTCCAACCAGAGCAGCTCCCTGGCCTGAGCTGCTGTTCCTGGGCTGTCCCTGGGGGGTCGGTGAGGAGGGGGCTCCTGGGGTGCCAAGGGGTGGCCATGCACTGGTGGGCACTCCTGGGACACCTCTGCAGCGGGGCCTGGTGCCGTGTCTTGTCAGATCTGGAATGACTTCATGAACCGGTCGGGAGAAGAGCAGGAGCGAGTCCTGCTCTACTTGGAGGAGGAAGCTGGGAAGAAGCACAGGAGGAAGCTGCCCGGCAAGAGCGAGGACAAGTGGAAAGGTGCTGGGAGGAGACGCTGGGTGGGGAGAGCCTCTCCCTTGTGTGTGTTTTGGGAGGGACACTCATCCCTGAGGGCTCCATCCTGCTTCCTGTGTCCTCCCCTCATGGTGAGGCTTGAGGACGATAGAGCTGACCCCTTGGGTGCTGTAGCGAGGGGGTTGTGCCCAGCAGACCCCTGTGGACCTGTGAGGGTTCGTAGGAGATGGGAGTAGCCGGGGTGATGGGCACAGACCTCCAGATCTCCACAGCCTCCTTGGCTGGGGAGGGTAGTGCTGGTCTGGGGGTGACACCTGAGGTCCCCTGGGGTGGCTGGGGGGATGTTGGGCTCCTTCCGAGAGGTGATGCTGTGTGGGCACCAGGGATGGGATCAGTGCTTGAGTCCCTTCTGTCCTCTCCGTGGCTCCAGAGCACCCTGCTGACACCCCCCAGGAGTGTTTCCAGCGCATCAGCCGCCGCCTCCGCGCCACCCTGAAGCGGGGCCGGATCCCCATGGTGAGCGGGGGCCGGGGGGGCTGGGGTGGGCAGGGCCTGTGTCCTGGGGACTGTCCCTTGGTCTTGGCACAGTCACCGAGCCGGACAAGGGCTGAATTTCAGATGAGCTACTGAGGAACGTGCTCCAGTTCCCAGCTGACCTGCAGCAGGGGCTGCAGACACTGACCCACTGCAGGCAGGTTCTTCTGCCTCCATTCAGATTTTCCTGGTAGCTACAGGACACTTGTATGTGGTTATGTCACCATCTCTGCTTATTGGGCAGCAAGTGATGGGGAACCCAGCGTGTTTGCCCACAGGGGCAGCGGGGGAGCCTTTGGGGTATCTGCACAAGGCGATTTTGAACAACTTAAATGTGTTTTGGAGGGATCAAACTGCATAAACCACTGAGCAGGCGATTAAGTCTGGCTGGCGAGGCCAGCGTGGCCCAGTGCTGCCTGGCTCGGGGAGCTGAGCA